GCCTGAATGAATTAAAGTTTAGCCACCCTAAAAAGGCTCGCTTGCTGGACTAAGGAAGGATTGAATTTAACATCCACAATGTTAAGTGAGCTTTCAGCCAATGTGAGTAGTGTATGTCATGCAGTATTATGACATCGAGCTGCAATGGACCTTTTGCTCTTGGCACAGGGACATGGTTGTGAGGAGTTTGAAGGCATGTGCTGCTTGGATCTTACTGATCATTCAGCTTCCATCCATAAGCAACTGCAACAGCTACAGGATGGGTTACATGCCCTGGAGGAAGATAGTGACCCCATTGGAGGTTGGTTCACCAGCTGGGGCATCACCGGATGGTTGAGGTCTCTTGTGCTAGAAGGGGGACGGACTTTACTTATAATGTTAATTGGGATGACAGTCTAAGTGGTATGATATCTTATCCAAAGCCTGGTTTGTGCAAAAAGAGAAAGGGGGAATTGTTGCTATATTTTATATATTAGTAAAGGCCTGTATGCACAAACCAGCCTTTGAAATAATTCGTGATATTAAGGGCTAAAATCCTTGAAACTTGCCTGCAGAAGAGAGAGTAAAGCAAAACAATATCCTTGTGTACAAGGATAAGAATGTAAACCTGTGTGTGTTAGCCAATAGTAGCTTGCTCTGCCCGCAGACTCTGTAGAACCCTATAAAAGGTGTGTTAATAATAGAAATAAACGGCATTCACAATTACTTCTGTGAAGACGGGTGAACAGCTCGGGGGTCTTTCAACAACTGGAGGCTGAGGAAACACCATTTATCTCTGTGCAAGAGAAAGCCAAATCCATCTCCACACTTGACAGCTCCTTACTGGAAAGATAAACTGAAGGGAGCTTGGGGAAGATCAGACAAGTGACTGGAGCCTAAACCTGGAGACCAAACAGGCAGGAATCAGATCAGCCAGGTGCTGCTGACACAGGGCTTTGGCAGCATGGCTGCAGAAATGAGGGTGCAGCCCCACCATGTCCAGCCAGCTCCATCCTCCAGCACATGCTCTGACCTGCAGAGCTGCCTCCAGCCCAGGGATCCAAAAGCAGCAGGACCTGGAGCTGCTGGAGCGAGCCCAGAGGAGGCCATGGAGACACTCCAAGGGCTGGAGCCCCTCTGCTCCTGAGCCAGGCTGGGAGAGCTGGGGGTGTCCAGCCTGGAGAAGGCTCCAGGAGAGCTCAGAGCCCCTGCCAGGGCCTGAAGGGGCTCCAGGAGAGCTGGAGAGGGACTGGGGACAAGGGATGGAGAGACAAGAGGGGAATGGCTTCCCAATGCAGGGGCAGGGTTAGACTAGAGATTAGGAGAATGTCATCTCCACTTTGGAACTTCCCCCCTGCAATTCAAACCATGAATTACTTCCATGCTGGAAACAACTTTTTATAGATGTCAAGGCCCCATAAAATCAATATTTTTTATTTTCTTGCCTAAACTAAATTGCCTTGCTCCTTCCTTTCATTACTTTGTGTTTTAGTTGGCACACCTTTTTTCCATGAAGCACAGACCCAAAACTGGACCCAGTGTTCCAGCAACAGCCAGGAGAGCCAGACAAGATCTCACACAAATCTCAGAGCTCTTCTTTGCAACCTTGCCATACTTTTGTGCCCTGCTTTTGCTGCCTCAGCTGTTTTGGGCTCTAACCAGAACTGGTTCTTCACTCACTGCCCATCCCATCCTGACGCTACGTTTTGTGATTGCTCACGTGCAGGAACTTGCATCTACTGAGTAACAGCCTTGGCCTTGAACTGTACCTTCAGTTATCAAAATCCTTCCAAAATCTGCTTTGTAGCACCTTGCAGAGACTTAGTGTTATGGGATCTGTATACTTAATAAGCACATCAGTGAAAATGAAAACCAATCCCACAGCCTTGATTTTCCAAAGAGCCCAAACATATTCAATCACCCTCCAAGAAGGAGAGTTTTCTCTTAGTTTTAAGTGGAATTTCTTGTGTATCAATGTGTGCCCATGGCACTGGGCAACACTGGGAAGAACCTGGCTCCTTCCTCTTTGCACCCTCCCTGCAGGTACTTGCAGACATTGATGAGCCCTCCCTGAGTCTGCTCTTTCATAGGATGAACAGTCCCACCTCTCTCAGCCTTTCCTTACAGGGGAGGTGCTTCAACCACTTCATCATCCCCATAGCCCTTTGCTGGAATCTCTCCAGTATGTCCATGTCTCTCTTGTGCTGAGGAGCTGGAACTGGACACAGATGGAGGATAAAAAATATCCACCACCCTTGCCTTGTCGCCTGAGCTCATCCCTTTGATGCAGAAAGCATCAGGTTATCAGGCATGGAGGTCTTTTGCAATCTATCCTTTGCTCCCAGTCACCTCTTTGTTCTCTCTGTGTTTAGGGGTTATTGGCTCTGTCACCTCCTCAGAGAACACAGAGAGGTCAACCCTCCTGGAGCTCCCCAAATCTTCATTCTTGCCCTCCTGGAAGGCAGGAGTGACACTGGCTTTTTTTCCAGGACTCAGGAAGACTGTGAGGAGATGGAGAGTGTGCTCTCAGTCTCATCTCCAGCTCCCTCAGCACTCATGAGTGCACCCATCATGTCCTGGGTGTTTGTGAATGTCCAGTTGGTTCAGCACTCCCTGACCTGGTCCTGTTCCTCCTCCAAGGGTCTCCCTCGCTCCAGACCTTCTCCTTAGTGTCAGGGTTCTGGGAGTCCTGAGACACTTGTAGAAGCCCTTCTTATTGTCCCCAAATTCAGCTCCACATGGGCTTGGCTTTCTGAACCCCATTCCCACAAGCTTGAACCACATCTCTACAGTCCTCCTACATTAGCTGTCCCTGCTTCCACCTCTCGCACATCCTTTTCATGTGTGAGCTCAGCTAGGAGCCCTCAGCAAATCCATGCAGCCCTCCTGATGCCTTTGCTTGACTCCCTGTTCATCAGGATCCTTGAAAATACACCAGCTCTCCAGGGCTGTGTCCCATAGGCACACTGTTCTCCAGCCTCGTGACCTTCAAGACATTCACCTGGGCAAGGAGCAACCTGGTGTGCCTGCTTTAGCAGGAGGGCTGCACTGGATGATCTACAGAGATTCCCTCCAAACCCAAACACTCCATGACTCTGGGATCTCAAGGGATCAATTAAATCCCTGACACATGAGATTCAAAGCCTGTCAGCTGACAGCAACTCATTATCCACAAGTATCTGCAGTCTGCTAAATTCCCAGCCTCCTGTTCCACAAACTAATTCCCTACCATACTCTCCTTTAAAATTTTTGGCTGTGTAGGAGAAAATGGAAAAAATTATTTTCTAAATTAATTTTTTTTAGGCAAGTCATAATTATTTATAAACCTTTCCCTATGGTGGGAAGTGCTTTTTAATGAAGATGGTGCACAGGAATTGGCAAGGCCAGGTTTTAGCTAGCCCAGAAGTGGGGATATTCTAAATAAATGGGGGAAGGTTCACTGGCAAGGCCATTGTGTCAAACAGCTCCAGATCAAAAGTCTGGAAAACAAGGAGATCCAACATAAAGGTTTTTAAAAAGTAAGGATTTAAACAATATAGAGGGAAAAAAAAAAAAATGGAAATGCCTTGGGTCATATGCTAGAGTTGCCTCTCCCTCTAAAGACAATTCTTGTCAGGTAAAAATGGAGGTCAGGAAAGACACAGGATGGGAGGGAATATGGGACAACTAAAGAAAATGGATCAATGCTAGAAAATTCCATCATAATTACTCCTGTCAAACTCACAGCAAGCCAAATTAAGTCTCTTTGATAACCAGAATGTGGAAAATGGTGGGAAAACTCCCATTTCCTATACTCCCCATTTCCGCAGTGAAACAACTCTCTGGGATCAATCCCCAGGGCTTATAACCTCACATTCAGCCTGGTGGTGTTGGCCTTCAGCCTCCTGCTCCTGCAGCTCAGCCACACACGTGGGGTTTACGGGGCCCCAGCAGCCCTCAGCATCCCCCAGGAGTGCTGGCAGGATCCTAGAGGGAGCCTGGTGCCCCCATGGGCAGCTCAGGGATCCCACAGGGCTGTGGTGACTGCTGTGATGCCTGAGGTGGGGCAGGTGACAGTCAAGGAAGGACATGCTGCTGCCCCTGCAGACAGCACTGGAGCTCAGTGTAAGCCAGCTCCACCATGCAGTAGGACAGGAAGAGGGATCTGGCTGCACTGGGGTTCCTTTTTGTTTCCTTGATCCCTCTTGAGACAGCTCCAGAGGCAGGAGCAGGCAGCAGGGCTCCCCTTCCCCCAGTCACTGATGTGGGGCAAAGCACACAGATACGTGTCACACACACAGACACAATTTTCATGCATGATGCTCACAAGGGGGAATGGTGCTGCAACTTAAGAATGGGCAGGATCAGGCTCCAAACCTCCTGGGTTGACCACGCTGCGTCAGTGACCCCAATGTGCTGAGGAGCGGTGTCCCTCCACAAGAAACAAGGGCCAAAAAATCCACCACACATGAGCTACGCCCTGGGAGAAGGACTACAGAAAACAAGGGAGATGGTTACAGAAAGGAGCAGCAAATGAAATCTGTAGAAGTGGCATGGAGACCATCAGTAAAGCCCACATGGGTACGTGATCTGTGAAGAAAGGTTTGAGGAAGGGTTCAAGGGTTCAAGGAAGCTGGTACAGCTCAACTACAAAAGAATATATTGTTGCATTAAAATATATTAGCACAGCAGGCTAAAGAAGGCGTAAGTCAAAAAGCCAGACCTACTTTCTAACACAGAAAACAGAATCTTGGCCTCAATCAGATTAAATGCAATAATTTAATCAGGCAGGCCAGAAATCAGTCTGGGGGGTAACTGGTTAAAGGCATCAAACTGCTGCCAAGTCCTCTTTGTGATGCATGAAGAGCAAGGCAGGGAATCTACTGAGATGTGGAAGGAGCCTCCAAGAAATGTATGCAGAGGAGGGGATCCTTTTTCACCTGGGATCAGCCGCTCGGAGCCCTCAGGACTCGACCCAACCACCCTCCCCACCTCTGACCTGGGGAAAGCAGCCCAGGAAGGGGACTGGCCAGAGCACTCACAGTGAGCTGGTGGAGCAGGATCTGGGGGTCAGTGACGTGGGCCAGGGGCGGCTGTGGCTTGGCACACACAAACATCAGGTTGGAGAAGAGCCGGAGGAAGCAGAGCTCCACCCGCACCCCACATGGGAAGGTCACCGTTTTGCTGGGCAGCTCTGGAAGGGAAATTCAGGCATGATCAGCTCCTCAGAGAGTCCTGTCAACACCTCCCTGCACAGCCGTGTCCCTGAGGGGCACAGGCACCCCCAGTTCCCTCCTCCTCTCCCGTATGGCTCACCTTGGCTGTGCCCCCAGGGCTCAGGGGCTTCTCCCGAGGGACAGATGGGGTCAGTCAGGGACCGGGCTTCCTTCAGAGTGTGCTTGATCTCCATCACCTGCTTGCCAGCGACCAGGGGGTCACGGCCAATGTCTGTGGGAAAGAGTTGGAAGCACAAGGATCACTCCTGCCTTTCAGGCCCTGCATGAATGTCTCCATGATGCTTGCAGGCTACTGAAAGCTCCCATGGGGCATGGCCTGTGATCTGGATTTTAGGGAGGTGGCTGGCTGGGATGGGATGGGATGGGATGGGATGGGATGGGATGGGATGGGGTGATGTGGAGCCACTCAGTCTCTGCTGTCTCACCCCTGCCACTGAAGCGGGTGGTTTATTGCTTCTCTTACCTTCTAACACATCCTCCAGCATGTGTGTCACCTTCTTCTCTTGCAGAATGTGTTTCTTCAGATATTTCATGAAGATCCCCGAGCTGAACTCCCCATCCTGCAATTCATAGGCTTCTGCATCTTCACTCCTGCAAGAGTAAGGGTATTTCTTCAGAGTCCTCGCAGTTCTGCACTGGGCATGAAGACCATGTGAATCTGGGGTGGCCAACTCCATCCTGACTCTGCTGGCTAGGTCAAAGTGAGCTTCTCAAGAAATAATACAAAGTGCTTTGGTTCTCCAGTGCCCTGGAGAGGGTGGACAGGCCACAGGATCGGAAAAAGCAGTGGAAGAGAATGGGATAGGACAGCACAGTCTCCTTTGCCAGCCCAGGTGGGTGATGAAGGTGAAAAGACAGTGGAACTGGCACTGGACCAGTAAATACTACCCAGCATCTCAGGAGGCCTTGGGTGGGCTGTTCATGGGACATGAACCTGGGAAATCAGGCTGAAGAACAGGTGACAGGAGCTGATATCACCTTCACACAGAACTTGTAACTGAAGCACAGGCTGATGGCAGCAGGAAGAAGTGCCTGAACAGCAAACCCAGCAGATGGAGGGTGAGAGCCAGAGGGAACATGAAAGAAGCTCTCTCCAGCCTCTGTGCACAGAAGGATGGGAGGAGACCGGGCTGTGCCAGAGTCTGGTCCCGTGTGAGGGTGTGGGGATGGTGGAATCACTCACGTGGAATAGCCATAGACAGTGTTTCCCCAGGGCTCCAGCGGCTGCACCTGGGACAAGGCACACCCTGGGTTGTACCTGGGGAGGAGGCAAAGGCACAAGTCAGTGTTGAGGACATCTGTCAGCTGGAGGGGACAAATCCCACATGCTCCTCATGTCCATCTCTTAGGCATGGCAGGAGGATCAACTCTCACCTCGGATGTAACCAGAGAGACTAAAGCTGGGAGTCACACCAAGAACCCAAACCACAGGGAAAGGAGTAGCTATGTCCAGCTGTGACTTATCTGCACTGGTAAGCTGCTCCCTGCCCTGAGCCTGAGGCTGTGGTCCAGCCTGGAGCTGTGGGTGCGTGCTGCCACCTCCCTACAGAGGCTGGATTTTAACAGCTCCAGGCAGCACCACAGTGCAGAGAACACACAGGCTCATCGTGGCCCAATGGACAATCGTCCCTCAAGAAGTCAGAAGTGCACAGCACCATGGTTATGGCTCAGTTGTCTTTTCTGGGGATCTGGGACACCCTACAGGCCCTTCCAGATGATGGAACTTTTGCCTCAGGGATCCAAAGCAGGCTTTGGATGATACACACCCAGATCTCTCTGAGAGATGGGATCAGGACATGAGTCTCAAAGCCCAAAATTGGTCCTGGCACCTTGGTCCAGATGCAGCTGAATGAGCACAGCCCCTATTATTTCCAAAATCAGGCACATCCATGGTGACAGGATCTGATTTCCAACAAATAAGATATAATGGTTGCATTGAATAGTTAAACCCTGCCCATCTGACTGCAGCCAGACTGACAGCATAGGGACAGGCTGCCTCCAGCTCACACCAGTGACTCAGAGCTGTTCCCAGTCACACAGTGACAAGAACCAGGCACAGAGGCAGAGTTAGTCCATGTAATTCAAGTCCAGCAGTTTCCTGGAGCTGGAGCCAGCACACCAAGAAGAGTTGAAAGGACAGAGGGATTTCCAGCAGCCAGCATGTCACCTACTGCTGGTGGCACAATCTGGAGGTGTTTAATGGCACAATTCAACTGGCTTGTGTAAGTTGTCCTAAAGATGATCAGAAGAGAAAATGTGAGAAAGGAGACATGTTTCTAAGTCTGAATATTGAGATTTATCTGCTCTTCAACTGCTCTTAATTTAGTGCAGAAATCTTTGGTTCCAGGTCCAAGGATAAATCAGGGAATTACTGGAAAAGGCAATCACATCCACCCAAAATCAGCATATAAATGTATGAGGCTACACACAGGCTCTGTGTTCTGATTCCTCCCCTGCTAAGGCTGAGCATCTGCTCCCACTTGGCAAAGGGAGATGTGTTTCTCACCACCCTGGCATTTCTGATGCCAACACATGGAGTGAGGAGAAACTCTGGGTGAGCTCCCCCTTAGCACAGACACAGCTTTCACTGACAGAGCTGCATCATCAGTCTGACTAGGAGGGTTTTGGGAAAGGAGGCCCTGGGAGCCTTGTTTTACACAGCAGTGAACTATGAACTCCAGATGCTTTCCTAAGCTGAAATGGTGACTTCTTGAGAAAAAAGTGAGCTCAGGACAGAGCTCCTGCCCCCAGGAGATCAGGGATAACACCCACTGCAGGAAGTGCTATGCTTGCTGTGGAAAAGGGGAGGTGTGAACTTTGGGGAAGGAGGGAGAAAACCAGCTGCACAACTTTGCCTAAATATAACAGCAGATCTCACACTGCATCTTCTTCCCAGAGCACCACTGAGACTCCATTGAGCAAAGCAACCAATGGCAATGCCAAGGAAGGAGACAGCAGCTCAAAACCTGTTTTATAGATTGTTAACACTTAGACTGGTGGTCCCTGTGCAACCCCCATACTGCCTCCCTTCAGATGACACACCAGCAGCCCAGAGCCACAGCAGCCCAGCTCCAGCTGAGTATCCATGAGAGCCAGGTGTTCCTGCTTGGCTGCAGGCCCTCCCCTGCCTCTCATCACACTGGGGAGGACAGCCAGCTGCTGTGAGGTGTGCCAGGGAAGCAGCACACTCTGCTCTCAGCAGCCAGAAAGAAGGGACAAAGAGGATGCTCCCATCTGGGGAGTTCAGGGCAGCATCAAGGGACATCAAGCTCCTGCTCCAGAGCTGTGGGACAAGTCCTAGCACAGCCAGTTTTAAGCCATTCAAAGCAAGCAGCCCCACCACTGCAGCTAAAAGGCATCGAAAATTTATCATCTCTCCAGGGTCTGGCAGCTCTCTCAGGGTATCAAAAACCCTGTTGTCTTTCCAATTCTTAGCGCAGGAACCACAGCATGAAGAGAGAGATATTCCTACATTTGCTCTCCAGGTCTTTTCTGACCTGTAAATCTGCCTCAGGAGCAGAACTAAATAAACTAATGACAGCTTCTACTGCATTAGTCCACCACCTCTTCTGAAATTGAACAAGTAGTAATTTCCTGCAGCAGGATAGAAGTCTGCAGGCCAAGGGAGGACAATGGGTTTTCCACAGAAAGTGGGAAAATGCTGATCTCTGACCTCAGCAGCAGCAGCAGCTTCACAATATGACCACTTCAGAAGGATTTAGGCCCAGTAAAAAACAAGTAGCAGGGCTTAAAATATTTCCCCTGTCCTGTTGCACTCTTCTCACAGATGTTAACAAGAATGCAGCCAGGAGAAGAGAGGTGAACTGAACACTCCCAGCCTGAGCATGTAGGAAATATGGACCAGGAAAGCACACAATCAGCAAGATCAGGTCAGGTGGGTCAGGCCTGAAACACAAAAGACAAACCCTGTGCTGAGTTTCAGCCAACAATTTATGCCAGGCAGAGCCATCCCTCCCCAGGCTTGAGGAAACCTGCCTGTACTTGCTAGGCTTCTTCACCTCAAAAAACCAAAGGAGGGTCTCGAGCCCCTTCTCTCCAGCAGATCTCAGACAAGGTCTGATGCTCTGTGCACTAATACATGACTGACCCATCCCCCAGGACACCCTGCAGGACCAGGCAATGTGGTTGATTTTATGGCATAGATCAATGACCTCTGACAGAGGCTCAGCAGCACCATGGGGGATGGGGCAACCACAGGGGCTGTCAAAACCCACAGCTGAGGATGGCCACCCTCCCCCAGCCCTCGGAGTGCCCAGCCCAGGTGAGGAAGGGGAAAGAGGCCCCTACCACTTCCTGCAGGTGTCCAGCAGGATGATGTTCAGGGCTGTCTGCTGCTGCTGCATCTTCTGGAGGATCCTCTGCACGCTGATGCAGTTCTCAGGGGCATAGGGTTGTGGAGCATCAACAGGGACCATGTAGTTCCTCCCCAGATGTTCATATCCGTGCCCAGCATAGTAGAATATAGCTGGGGAGAGGAGAGGATGAATCAGGATGCCGACCTGCAGGCGTGTAACCAGCTCCCCATGGCCACATCCCACCTCCTGTCCTGATGGGATACTAGTGCAGGGCAGACCTAGACCAGTAGCACCTATGGAACTGGAGCTATGTTGATCTCACTATTTCAACTTTTTCCCAATTTATTCCCTTCATTAGAATTGGAAGCAGCCCCAAGAGGGAATCCTGTACTTGTGGATTCCTTCACTGTTTGTCTCCTGAAGGCTCTGGGTTTACACACATCCAAACTCTATGTGCTACAACCTGCCAGGCTGTTTCATTGTTGTATAATGTTTTGGTCAGTCCTCAGCTCTTTGAAGGAATAAAGCAACAGAAAAGGATTTTACCAGGATGGAAAATACACTGACAGCCATTTAAATGATAAGCTCCTCAGTTTCCTAGTTTTGGAGAAGAGACTAACACTACCGCCTAATCAGGTGATGGGAAACATTCTCAATTTAAAAGGTCTGCCTGTATTCACACACCTAAAAGCTGGCAAAAATCAGACACAGTGACACATGAGTTTTTCAGATGTCCAGAACATGAGGACCATGAGCTTCAACAACCTCAAACCAGGCACTAGACCTGTTAGGCAGGGGAAGAGTCAGACTCATGCACATGCCAGTGGGAAGCCCAAGACCCAGCAAGAATTTTGGGTTTTTCTCTTAAGCACATGAAACTTAGTAATGACCGAAGCTGGGATTCCTCTCCAAGCCCTGTGTTCAGTGCAGGGCTGGCACAGGGATCCCAAACAGGCTGGAGCTTCTCAAAATGAAGCTGCACAGTGGCTGGCTACCCCTACCCAGGACCAAAGACACTGCTTGGGGGATGATGGTTGGTGAAAGCCAACTTGAGGAATTGAAATGGGTTAAAAATAGCTCTACGAGGTGATGCAGAGAGTTGTGTTACTGCAACTGGGGGACAGTGAAGAGTGAGAAATCAGAAATGGGAAAAAGAATGTAAGAAGCAACAGCAGGAGAAATTCTTCTCTCAGATTCACTGCCAAAGCACACAGTTCAGTGAGTAACCTCTCCTCTATTTTCCCTCCGCTGTTCCTGCCCCTGGAGTTGGCAGGACACTCATTTTGGTCTGATTCTGCATGAATGCAGTAACAGGGGCAGGAGCTGAAGGGCTGAAAGCATGCTCTCATCATGTGGAGAATGGAAAACATGATCTCACAGTCCAAAAGACCTTGAGTCACCTTTGGTTTCTATTCGCAGGGGACAATGGAAAGTTTCCCAAGAGGACATTTTCACAGGTGCCCATGAGATTTGGGTTCCTGTTCTTGCAGATCGCCAGCCAGAGGCAGCAGGCTCTGATTTCCAGAAGCTTTAAACTTTCGTAACTTGCAAACCAAAGCCACAAAACCCTCCCCCAAGACTAGAAAAGAGTATAAAACAGGAAGTCTTCTAGAAAAATTAGATGCAGTTTGGGCCCCTTGAGCCATTGAGCACTGGTGGCTTTGGTCTCTCTGCCTGTACATGCAAGGGAAGTGATGACATCTGTCACAAGGCAGCATCACTGCGGCTTGGAAAAAAATGAAATATAACAGGAAAGCCCACAATGAATGATTCAATCCTTAAATCTTCTAACTTTTGAGATCTTGTTAAGTACCTGACTGTACCACCAAGTGCTCCTCATGCTATATAAACCAGAAAGACTCGTGTTCAAATTCAGAAAAGGTGAGTTTCACATTACCTGAGCAACTTCTCCAACCTCTCCTGGACTGAATCTCTCCTCCTGAACAGGAAAGTCAACAATTTGCCCAGAGATGGAAAGGGATGTTTTATTCTGAGTTCTTCCCACATTGTATGAGTCAGAACTGCTCATCACAGAAAAACTTCTGAGTACAAAATTAAAAAGGGGAAGCTGCAAACACTGCTTATAAAGCAGGAAATGTCAGCATGAGGCTTAATAAAGGCATGACTCCATATTTCTAGTATTCCACTCACAATTTTCTGCTCTTGTTGTGTTTCCAATGTAATTTTTTTGATTTGGGGCTTTTTAGGGTGCTCAAAATAACACCCACGGGGATTCCTCATTTGCCTGAGGGTAGAATAATTAGATCATTTAGAGGATGTTTGGGGCCTTCAAAAATCCTTTGCAGCTTTTCTAAGAAGAGATCTGGAGGAAAAGCAGCCCAATAACCCACCACCTCCATACAGTGAACTGGAGACACCTCTGGATCATAAAATCATTAGGGTTGGAAAAGACCTCCAAGATCAAGTCCAACCTCGGACTGAACCTCACCATGCCCACTGAACAGTGCAGTGCCACATCCAGTTGATTTTTGAACACTTCAGGATCCCAGCCTCGGAGCTGTGCTGGGATGCTCTGGAGATGTGGAAGAAAGCCTCCCAAAAGCCTACAGCTCCTGGAGGGACAGAGTCCAAAAAGCCCAACTGCCCTCATCGGCATTGACCACACGACAAAGGGCAATGAGCACCAACCCATGGCGGCTCATGTCCACCAGTCAGCCCCCTCCTCCTTCTCTATGTCTACACAAAGCTTTCCTGACTTCAGCTCTGGTGGCTGCTACACAGAGGTGGCACCTCCAAGGCTTCTCAAGCAAGAACACTGGGATGCCACAGGAGCATGCCCAACACAATGTACAGGACTGGCTGTCACAGGCACCTCTGGGGTCTTCAACAGGCTGCCTGACTTGTTCCTGGAGCTGCCACCTCACCACAGCTGGGGCACTCAGCAGGCAACCTGACCCAATGTCCCACCATTAAATCAGGACTCCAGCGAATGTGGCAAGAACCCCAAACTCAGTCACTGCTGGATCCAGCCCACACTGGAGTCCACTGTCTTCAAAGAATAGCACACCACTCAGCCTAGAGAGCTGTTAAGAAAACATCAACCTAAGCAGGCATTGCCTCACAAACACTCGACTCAGCTGCTACAAAATCAATTTTGTATTTTGTAAAATCAGACAGCACACAAAATCAATTTTGCCAGGAAGGATCAGAGGCCATGAATGCAGAAAAGCTCTAGAAGTTTAAATAAGGCAGGACAATATGAAAGGTTTGCTGTTTCCAAGCATTTTTTTCCTCTTCAGTGCTTAGGAAGGGCCATGGATAAAATGCCATTTGGTCCTCATGTGGATAGAGGGTAAGAATGGCAGCTGGGATGACTCTGGCCTGGGAGAGGAGGTAAAGCCTGGGATACATGAGGATTTCAGAGAGCAACAACGAAAGGAAGCTGCAAGTGAAGTCACGGGAATACGTCGTCATAGGCACTCAAGCAGAGCACCAGGACTGTGCATGGCCCTTCCCACCAGCTCAGCCTCCTCCAATGAGTCAGTGCTTCCCAGAACAAGGTGGCTGTGCAGCATTTACCCTGTGGCCAGGTCCCCATCCATTGCACAACCTCCAAACCTCATGCTGAATGCCAGCCTGGAATCAGCCCACACTGACTTTCACTGTCTGGATACCATACATCTGGAATGTAAGCCTCACACTGAGGTTTGGAATAAAAAAAAAAACAAACACCTGCAAGGTGTTTTCAGGGTATCTGACATGCTGGGAGAATCTCAGGGACCTCAAAGATGCTACTTTCACCACCAAATTTGAACACCTGCTTTAAGACCCACGAGATCTGATGGTTGGGTTTGTGGTTGAGGAATGCTTCCTTACTGAGCACAGTGCACAATTAAGCACAAAGCCCAACCTCAAAGCCATCTGCAGCTGGGAATGCTCTTCTGCAAAAGGGTTGTCAGGGGCCCAAATTAGACCTCCAGGAAAGAGAAACAAGGAAATCATGACCAGATGCAGCAAGCAGGGCTCAAAAGGAACTCACTTCCTCACGCATGAGTGGAGGGGGGACATTTAGTCTCCTCAATTCTTTTATCCAAAGAAAAATCAAACCCCCCCCTTCCCATTCACTATTGGAAGCACTGACTCCCCAAAAACTCAGTGTAAGCCCATGCTGTTGGCATTGGAGGTTAGCCACATGTTGGAGAAACATCCACTTTGCCTGACTATAACCTGCCAAAACTAAACTACACTTATCCAAGAGCTCCTGCCAAGCCTGGTACTGATGCAGGTCTCCCTTGAGATAGCAACATTCAATTTATTCTCTTTTAATTCAAGAGCTGTTCAGAAAATGGCCTAATCCCTACTCAGCATGGGCAGGTGGTTGAGCTGGCTTGGCCTTACCATAGACTCCCTTCCCCAGTAGCTGCAGGAAGCGACTGACCGCTGTTGCCATCTCAGCCTTGTTCAGATCCAGCAGGGAGACAACCTGGAAGCCCAGATGCTCCAGAAGACGACTCAGCTCAAACACATCCCTCACAGGAGCCATGAGGTTGGGATGATGCTGGTAGCGGTTGTTGCCCACCAAAAGTGCTATTTTGCCTGTAGCTAAAGCAAAGACCAAGTGAAAAAGCTGTAAATGCTCAGCAGGAGGCAAGATCTCACCTCCTCCCGCTGGAGTGAGGATATGGGCAATCTAAGGAAAGAGGCAGCAAGGATAGACCCTAGGCTTCTGCAAGCCTGGAGCACCCTCCAGAAAGCCCTTAGCTTTCTGAACACTTTGACAAAACACACAATCAATTTAACAGAAAGGCTTGAAAAGTTTTCACTTGACAACCAAAATCCCAGGAATGCAGAGGTTCTGCTCTACCTGCCCTACTGTGACCACAGGTCTGGCGTGTCAGTGGTGCTTGGGAGGGGGATCCACTGAGCCAGGCTCAGGGGTCCTTTCCCTCATGGGGATGAAGGTGAGAAACCCATGGCTCCTGCTTTGATTTTATCCCCACCTCCCACTGTAAAAAAAAATGGATTTATGTTGCTCAGTGGTGGCGGGTGAAAGGAACTTTGCCCTGTTCTGAGGAGGTACTTCAAGTAGGGATAAGCTGTCATTTGAACAACACTTGCAAAATCATTCTGCAGGCACACAGCTTAAGACTCAGTTACTCATTAGGAATAATCTTACTCCACTTGTTGAAAAAGATCAGGGCTTGGCAGGGGATGGGACTCATCTTATGTTGTGCAGCTCTAATCCAAAAGTGCAGAGGCTGTGGCAATGTGATCATAAAGGCTTGAATCGGTCTCAGCAGACAAAGCACCCCCATTCCTCGTCCTCCCATCCACCCTGAAGCCTGGCTTTCAATTAAGGGAATATTTGCTCAGGAAGAAAAGATTACATTACTCACCGAAAAACTTTCCAGAGCCACACATACCTGGGAAAGAAAGAGGGAAATTATAAGCCTGGGTTCAGTAAGCCTGAGCCCAGCACCCAGTGCCAGGTCTGAATTCTGCTCCAACATCCCCAACAATGCACAGCTAGATCAAACATACAAAGGATCTGCACAAGCAACATTCTTCAAGCAACTCTTTCATAGCCTGACTGCTAACCTTAAAGACATTGGTCTGATGCTAGGAGGATTTATGAAATCCAGCCTGATTTATGACATCCTGAGCAGCTGGGAAGCAAAGCCCAGAGAAGTGGCAGAACAGGGAAGAAGGGTCAACATGGAGAAGCTCATACCTGATGCGACTCACCTGCTACCTTGCTTCAGCAAAAGCGAAGGAAACACAATGACTCAAGGTAATAAAAGCTCCAAAACAGAGTTTCTTGCCAGAAATGTTCAGTGCAGAGGAAGTTGCCCTGTTTGCTTTTGATTGCAGTAATATTAGCAGAGTTTTTCATCTCCCTGCTCTGCCTTTCCTTGTTTTAGCAATTCTGGCTCAGAAAAGCCACTTTGGACTTTGGTCCACAAGCTCTCCTGCCTGAGCACTTCCAGCCTCTTAAAATCATTATTACCCTAACAGCTCCAGCTCCTCCTATTTCAATCAGAAATAAATATAAAAATCCAGCCTAGGAGAAAATTCATGCTCTAGAACCCTACATGCTCTAGAAGAAATTAAGAATAAATTGCATAAATCTCATGGGTCTTGAAGATCCTTGACCCCTGAACCAGTGTTGCTGATGCATGAGAGAACATGCTGCAGAACAAAACCACTCATCCTTTTCCACCTCTGACAGAAGCTCCCCAGCAGTAGCACATTGAACCCAATGCAATCTGTCATCCTTTTCTCACTTTCTGTCCCCCCAGGATGTGTTTTTCCAGCTGTGAGGAGGCAGGCAGAGTGCTCTCTGGCTACACAAGATCAATTTGCACTGTGGAGAAATTTTAAAGCCAACCTAAAAGGCAGCATAAGAAGCTCATGGCATAGAAAAATCTCTAGGTGGAGTAAAGAGCCAGAAAAGCCAGCCTGTGCTATTCCTGCCTCACATAAGGTAAAGGCAGAGGGCCAAAGCAGCCAGAAGTGGAGCATACCCGCAGCTCTGGGAACACATCCTCCCCCTGGGGTCCATCACTCACATAGAATCAGCCCTGAGCTGCCAGCCCAAGGGGCCTGAACCTTCCCAAATAAACACCATCCTCTCCAGCTCTGTATCCGAGCACATCCTTTCACGTCAGCAAGACTGGAAATGAGTAGGGCCATGGAAGCCTGCTGTGATTTGGTCTGGAACTGTGAAAGCAGCACCTTGGCATGGCAAGAAAACAGCAGAGAGCAGCTGAGAGCACTGAGCCTGCCCTTACACAGCAGGTGTCTGACACACTACAAGGCCCAGCAGCATCCCATCTGCCAGACAGCGCATCACTGCATCTAGGAGGTTTTCCAACCGCTGCTCCCTTTGCTCCCTGAGCCCCAGTACCAAAGAATAATGTTTATCATGGTCCTTGTTCACCAGCTCAGCATCTCCAGAGAGCACCAAATTCCTTTGTCCCCTCTAATTACATCTCACACCAGGTGGTATGCAGCAAAGTGATGTGGGCTGGCTCTGCTCACCGACGTGAACATCCACGGCGTTGGTCCAATGCTCTCCATGACTGTTGGAGGCACAACAGAGGTATGTGCCAGAGTCACTGGCCTTGGTGTGGGCAATCTAGGCAGATCAAAAGTTAAATCACATTATTTATGGTAAAAGACTGAAGCTCCCTGCCAGGATCTGCCAAAGGCATTTGTGTTCATGGAATAAAAAGTATTTTTCCTTCTGTTCGCAGAGACTCAGCCTCACAAAGAATCAAGACAGGGACAAGAACCAGAGCAGCACCAGCTGATGGGGACTCTGGTTCTCCAGCCCAGGGTCCTGCTTAGAGAGGGACTAAAGCCACCAGTGAGTCAGGGTGGCCCCAGCTCTGTCTATTCAAGCCTTGAACACTCGTTGCTGCACATAGCTGCCTTTCTCGCTCCAGCACAGCACCATCCACCTCCAAAAACAACCTCTTCTTAGTGCCCAAACTGAACTTTCCCATCAGAATTGCAATCTAAGGCCACCATATAATACCATCTAAGGCCATCTGTAATACCACTGACCACTACTGAGAAGAGACTAGATGTCTTGTCCTTGTGCCCTTCACAGGATGCCCTGGAAGGAAATCTTCTTTCTTGATTCAAGAAGACAGCACTGACTTACACTCAGCCAGAGACACAAAATAAAGCCAGCCCCTCAACTGCCTCCCTAACTCTTTTCTGTCAGGACCAACCACATTTCCTTCTAGGTCTCCAGAAGGCAGACAGCATTGCTGCAGCTCCATCAATCCAGAGTCCCCTCCACACACAGACAGTAACTGCTCTCATGTCTCTGTGTAAAAGGGCACAAGAGATGTGCTGACATATCTATGGACTGGTTACCTCTTAGAGGAATACCCACAACTTTGAAAGAAGTCCATAAAACATTCCCCCTTCATGCAGAGTCATCCAGCCAGCTACCAAAGCAGCAGGGTGGTACATGGAGAGCTTTCTCACAATCCTGCAATCAGCTTCTTCCATTACCCTCCTCAGCACCCAAAGCTCCTGTACTATCCCCAGAAAACCTTACCCGGAGTTTTTTTCTCTTCTGCTGCTCCAGCAGGTTCCCATTGCGGTACCACTGGTAGCTGGGGGCTGGGACCCCCATGGCAGCACACTGCAGCTGCAGCGGCTGCCCCAGCTCCACCCATTGCTCACTGGGGTTGAGGACAATGACCGGTTCTCCTTGCCACAGCCGAGGGGGCAGACCTGCAAGGCAGCAAGACAGAGTTGGTCCTCCCTCCACAGGGACAGCAAACAATGCCATTTTTGACCATCATTATTGCATCTTTCTCCTTGGGGAGCAGGGAACCCTTGGGAGCAATGCCTGTGATAGTAAATGCCACACCAAAGCCCCGCCTCTGGCTACCCAAACCTGATCCTTGCCCTTTCCTGCCAAAGGTGCAGTCAACATTCTAAGGTCAACCACACCCCGAGTTACTTTTGGTCAGCTCTGAAGCAGCCAGATGGGTTCTTCAAGTCCCAGTACCCAATATAACTCTGGGAAACCCATGGCAAGCATGAGGTGCAGGTGCATGTGGACAGGGCTTGAAGCAACCTGGTCTAGTGAAGGTGTCCCTGCCCATGGCAAGGGGAGGAGCAAGATGAGTTTGAAGGTCCCTTCCAACCCAAACCATTCTGTGATTCCATAATACATCAAGAAGGTAAAAGACAGGCTTGTACCTCTGGCAACACACTGATGGACCTCTACCTTCACCCAGTCGGAGAAGACGACATTTCTGTGGAGGTCATTGACTCTGCAGGTGTAGAGCTGGGTCTGCTCTGCAATGATGGGCAAGTCTTCATTGGTTGCTCCAGGAATCAGGCGGCAGTCAGACTAAAGGGAAAACAGGCAGTGGGCAGCAATTCACTTCTCACTGCTGGCAGTAGAAGGCACTAGGAAGCACCTTGTAAGAGCAACAAAAGTGGAAACCCCTGGTTTCCTCCCTTCCTTCAGCTCCCCCACTGCATGCAGGGACCCAGCCTGGTGCCATACACAGGGCCACCCCATCCTTACCTGGTACTGGCAAAACCACTGGTACTGCAGTGAGGTGTGTCCCTGGGCCCGGCACCGCAGCACGAAGGAATATCCCACCGGGACAGAGACAGAGACTGGCTGCTCCGTTATGGCAACGGCTGTGGAGAAACAGCATTTGGAGGTGGGAACTGCAGTCACAGTTCAGTATCTCACTCTCACCCAGTGGCCAGGCATGGTGGGCTTCAAGAGGGACACCCATCCCAGCAGGCAGGGAAGATTGGAAGAACAGGGATGCTCTTGTGCCCACAGAATGTAGAGAGGATGGATGGATGGATGGATGGGTGATGGATAGATGGATGGATGGTGGGTGAATAGGTGGGTGGACAAGAGGAAGGGTGGATGGAAGGATGGGTGGGTGGGTGGATGAATGACATGGAGCTCTTCTGGGTATTCTCGCAAGTGCCCGGGAGCTGGCACAGTCACTCTGCACCGTGGCCACTCACCTTCCTGCATCGCTTCTCTGGCGGCTCCTCCCCGGCCTGGGCGGCCGCCG